TACTTCAGTTGACCTTAACTGAGTTCTTAGACCTCGGTTGATCTCACCTGGGTTTGGTTGATCTCAGTTGATCTCAGTTGACTTTAGATGAGTTTTTGAACCTCAATTGACCTCCCACCTCTTTGAGCCACCCTTGGGACCCCCCCATTGCCCCCCTCCAGGCCCGCCTGACGTGCCCCTGCTGCAACGCTCGCAAGAAGGACCTTGGTTGACCTCAGTTGATCTCAGTTGACCTTGGTTGATCTCAGTTGATTTCAGTTGACTTTTGTTGAGCTCAGTTGACTTTGGTTGATCTCAGTTGACCTTGATTGACTTCAGTTGATCTCAGTTGACTTTGGTTGACTTCAGTTGACCTCAGTTGACTTTGGTTGACCTCAGTTGACTTTGGTTGACCTTGGTTGACCTCCGTTGACTTCAGTTGACTTTGGCTGAGTTCTATGACCTTGGTTGACCTCAGTTGAGCTCAATTGACCTTGGATGACTTCTTAGACCTCGGTTGACCTCAGTTGACTTTGGTTGACCTCAGTTGACCTTGGTTGACTTCAGTTGACCTTTTTTGGCCTCAGTTGACCTTGGTTGACTTCAGTTGACTTTGGTTGATCTCAGTTGAGCTCAGTTGACCTCAGTTGATCTTGACTGAGTTCTTAGACCTTGGTTGACCTCAGTTGATCTCAGTTGACTTCAGTTGATCTCAGTTGACTTTGGTTGACCTGAGTTGATTTCATTTGACTTTGGTTGACCTCAGTTGACCTCGGTTGACTTCAGTTGATCTCGGTTGACTTCAGTTGACCTTGCATGAGTTCTTAGACCTTGGTTGACCTCCCACCTCTTTGAACCACCCTTGGAACCCCCCCATTGCCCCCTCCCCCCCCTCCAGGCCCGCCTGACGTGCCCCTGCTGCAACGCTCGCAAGAAGGACGCGGTGCTCACCAAGTGCTTCCACGTCTTCTGCTTCGAGTGCGTCAAGAGCCGCTACGACACCCGCCAGCGCAAGTGCCCCAAGTGCAACGCCGCCTTCGGCGCCCACGACTTCCACCGGGTCTACATCAGCTGAAGGGACCCTCCCCTGCTGACCCCTGATCTCTTCTGGCCACCCAGAGTCACCTGGTGGTGGCCCAAGGTCAACCACAGTTGGCCAACGTCAAGGTTGGGTCATCCCAGTCTTGAAGTTCCTCAAATTTCCCATCCTATTTTTGGCTCTTCTTGGTTAAATTTTGACCAACCCTTGACCCCTGACCCTCCCCTGATGACCCCTGACCTCCCCTGGCCACCCAGAGTCACCTGGTGGTAGCCCAAGGTCAACCACGGTTGGCCGAGGTCAACGTTGGGTCATCCCAGTCTTGAAGTTCCTCAAATTTCCCACCCAATTTTTGACCTTTCATGGTTGAGTTCTTGACCCCTGACCCTCCCCTGATGACCCCTGACCTCTCCTGGTCACCCAGAGTCACCTGGTGGTGGCCCAAGGTCAACCATGGTTGGTCGAGGTCAACGTTGGGTCATCCCAATCTTTGACCCCCCCAATTTTCCCACCCAATTTTTGACCAACCCTTGACCCCTGACCTTCCTTGATGACCCCTGACCCTCCCGTGATGACCCCTGACCTCCCCTGACCTCTTCTGGCCACCCAGAGTCACCTCATGGTGGCCCCAAGGTCAACTTTGGGTCATCCCAACCTTTGACCCCCCCAATTTTCCCACCCAATTTTTGACCCTTCCTGGTTGACCTTTGACCAACCCTTGACCTTTGACTCTTCCCTGATGACCCCTGACCTCCCCTGATGACCCCTGACCCTCCCCTGGTGACCCCTGACCTCCCCTGGCCACCCAAAGTCACCTCATGGTGGCCCAAGGTCAACTTTGGGTCCATCCCAATCTTTGACCCCCCCAATTTTCCCACCCAATTTTTGACCAACCCTTGACCCCTGACCCTCCCCTGATGACCCCTGACCCTCCCTTGACGACCCCTGACCTCCCCTGGCCACCCAGAGTCACCTGGTGGTGGCCCAAGGTCAACCCTGGTTGGCCAAGGTCAACTTTGGGTCCATCCCAACCTTTGACCCCCCCCAAATTTTTGACCTTTCCTGGTTGACCTTTGACCAACCCTTGACCCCTGACCCTCCCCTGATGACCCCTGACCCTCCCTTGATGACCCCTGACCCTCCCCTGATGACCCCTGACCTTTCATGACCTCCCCTGGCCACCCAAAGTGACCTCATGGTGGCCCAAAGGTCAACTTTGGGTCCATCCCAACCTTTGACCCCCCCCAATTTTTGACCTTTCCTGGTTGACCTTTGACCAACCCTTGACCCCTGACCTTTTCTGATGACCCCTGACCCTCCCTTGATGACCCCTGACCTCCCCTGGCCACCCAGAGTCACCTCATGGTGGCCCAAAGGTCAACTTTGGGTCCATCCCAACCTTTGACCCCCCCCAAATTTCTCTCCCCTCCCCCCAATTTTTGTCCCATCCTGCTTGACCTTTGACCTCTTTTCTTACCCCCCAGTTGACCTTTGACCCCTGTTGGCCCCTCCCCCCCCCTTCAATAAATTTTTTGGGGCCCTTTTTTGGCTTTGTGTCGATTTTTGGGGGGTTTTGGGGTGGGGAGGGGCCTGAGGGGTTGTTTGAGGTCGTTTTTTGGGGGGAGGGGCCTGGAGGGGCTTTTTTGGGGGTCACTTTGGGGGGATTTTGGGGGAAAAAGGGGGGATTTGGGGTCATCTTGGGGGGGATTTTGGGTCCTGGGGGGTATTTGGGGTCACTTTGGGGAGATTTTGGGGGGATTTTGGGGGATTTGGGGTCATTTGGGGTTATTTGGGGTCACTTTGGGGGATTTTGGGGAAAAGGGGATTTGGGGGATTTGAGGGGTTTGGGGGTCACTTTGGGGTTATTTGGGGTCACTTTGGAGGGATTTTGGGGGATTTGAGGGGTTTGGGGGATTTTGGGGTCATTTTGGAGTCACTTGGGGGATTTTGGGGTTACTTGGGGATTTGGGAAAAGGGGAATTTGTTGGAAAAAAGAGGGAATTTAGGGGATTTGGGGAGATTTGGGGGTCCTGGGGGTCATTTGGGGTTATTTGGAATCACTTTGTGGGATTATGGGGGAAAAAGGGGGATTTGGGGGATTTTGGGGTCACTTTGGGGGATTTTGGGGAGATTTGGGGGGATTTGGGGGGATTTTGGGGGTTTGGGGGTCACTTTGGGGTCACTTTGGGGGCGATTTTGGCGAAAAAGGGGATTTGGGGAGAGTTTGAGGGGGATTTGGGGGTCATTTGGGGTTATTTGGGGTCATCTTGGGGGGATTTTGGGTCCTGGGGTCGTTTGGGGTCACTTTGGGGGGATTTTTGGGGAAAAGGGGGGTTTGGGGGGATTTGGGGGTTTGGGGGTCTCTTGGGGGGATTTGGGGGTCACTTTGGGGGATTTTGGGGTCATCTTGGGGGATTTGGGTCCTGGGGGTCGTTTGGGGTCACTTTGGGGGATTTTGGGAAACAAGGGGATTTGGGAGGTTTGAGGGGGATTTTGGGGAGATTTGGGGGTTTTGGGGATTTTGGGGGATTTGGGGGTCATTTGGGGTCAGTTTGGGGTCATTTTGGGGGGATTGGGGAGATTTGGGGGTGGAGGAGATTTGGGGTCATTTGTGGGGATTTGGGGTAATTATGGAGAGGTTTGGGGGGATTTGGGGAGATTTGAGGGGATTTTCGTCCTGGGGATCATTTGGGGTCACTTTGGGGGGGATTTTGGGGAAAAAGGAGAGAATTTGGGGGGATTTGGGAAAGGGGGGTTTGGAGGGATATTTGGGGTTATTTGGGGTCACTTAGGGGCATTTTGGGGATTGGGAAGATTTGGGGAATTTTGGGGTCATTGGGGTATTTGGGGTCATCTTGGGGGGATTTTGGGTCTTGGGGTCGTTTGGGGTCACTTTGGGAGGATTTTGGGGAAAAGGGGGGATTTGGGGGGATTTGAGGGGTTTTGGGGGGATTTGGGTGGGATTTGAGGGATTTTGGGGTTATTTGGGGTCACTTTGGGGGGATTTTGGGTCCTAGGGTGGTTTGGGGTCACTTTGGGGGGGATTTTGGGGCAATAGGGGGGATTTAGGGGGATTTGAGGGAATTTCGGGAGCGACTTGGGGGTTTTGGGGGAGTTTTGAGGGGATTTGGGTTTTTTTGGGGAGTTTTGGGGCGATTTGGGGGGATTTGGGGGGAGTTTTGAGGGAATTTGGGAGGATTTTGGAGGGTTTTGAGTGAATTTCGGGATGATTTGTGGGGATTTGGGGGAGTTTTGAGTGGATTTGGGGGATTTGAGGGAATTCCGGGGCAATTTGGGGGCATTTTGTGGGAGTTTTGAGAGGATTTGGGGAGCTTTGGGGGGTTTGAGAGAATTTTGGGGCTATTTGAGGGGATTATGGGGGAGTTTTGAGGGATTTGGGTTTTTTTGGGAGGATTTGGGGGGATTTGAGGGAATTTGGGGAGTTTTGAGGGAATTTTGGGGGATTTTGAGGGGATTTGGGGGAGTTTTGAGGGGATTTGGGGAGATTTGAGGGAATTTGGGGCGATTTGTGGGGATTTTGGGGGAGTTTTTGGAGATTCGGGGGTTTGGGGATTTTGAGGGGATTTGGGGAAGTTTGGGGGGATTTGAGGGGATTTTGGAGTTTTGAGGGGATTTGGGTTTTGAGAGGATTTGGGAGATTTGGAGGAATTTTAGGGGATTTGAGTTTTTAGGGGGATTTGGGGGGATTTGAGGGAATTTCGGGGCAATCTGGGGGGGTTGGGGCGGTTGAGGGGATTTAGGGGATTTTGGGGGATTTGGGTTTTTTTGGGGGAGGATTTGGGGACATTTGAGGGAATTTCGGGGCAATTTGGGGGGGTTTGGGGCAATTTGATGGGAATTTGGGGATTTTGAGTGGATTGAGGAGATTTGAGGGAATTTGGGGCAATTTGAGGGGATTTTGGGGGAGTTTTGAGGGGATTTGGGTTTTTTTGGGAGAGGATTTGGGGAGTTTTGAGGGAATTTTGGGGCGATTTGGGAGGGTTTGGGGCAATTTGTGAGGATTTTGGGGGGATTTGAAGGAATTTCGGGGCAATTTGAGGGGATTTGGGCGACTTTTGAGGGGATTTGGTTTTTTTGGGGGAGAATTTGGGGGGATTTTGGGGGATTTGAGGGAATTTAAGGTCGATTTGTGAGGGTTTTGGGGGAGTTTTGAGGGGATTTGGGGGGTTTTTGGGAGGATTTTGGGGACATTTGAGGGAATTTTGGGGCGATTTGAGGGAATTTTGGGGATCCAGGGGGTTTGGGGCGATTTTGAGGGGATCTGGGGAAGTTTTGGGGGGATTTGAGGGGATTTTGGGGGAGGTTTTAGAGAATTTGGGGTTTATGGGAGAGGATTTGGGGACATTTTGAGGGGAATTTTGGGGCAATTTGGGGGGATTTGGGGCGATTTTGAGGGATTTTGGGGGGTTTTGAGGGGATTTGGGGGCGATTTGAGTGGATTTTGGGGGAGTTTTGAGGGGATTTGGGGGCGATTTGAGTGGATTTTGGAGGAGTTTTGAGGGAATTTGGCGTCACTTTGGGGTCATTTGGGGTCCCCCCCCCTCAAAAAAAACCCGAGGCTTTGAGTCCCAAAAAAAGTCCTTTATTGGGGGAGGGGAGGGGGGGGAGGGGAGAGACAGCAGAGACCCCCCTGGGGACCCCCAAAAATATCAGAGACCCCCCTGGGGACCCCAAAATATCAGAGACCCCCCCAGAGACCCCACTGGGGACCCCCAAAATATCAGAGAGCCCCCCCGAGACCCTCAGGGACCCCCTGGGACCCCCAAAATATCAGAGACCCCTGGGGACCCCAAAAATATCAGAGACCCCCTGGGGACCCCAAAATTATCAGAGACCCCCAGAGACCCTCAGGGACCCCCCCTGGGGACCCCCAAAAAGGTCAGAGACCCCCCCCTGGGACCCCCAAAATAATCCGAGACCCCCTGGGACCCCAAAAAGGTCAGAGACCCCCTGGGACCCCAAAATAATCCGAGACCCCCTGGGGACCCCAAAAGATCAGAGACCCCCCTGGGACCCCCAAAATGATCCGAGACCCCCAAGGGACCCTCTGGGACCCCCCTGGGACCCCCTGAGACCCCTCTGGGACCCCCAAAAATATCAGAGACCCCCTGGGACCCCCAAAATATCAGAGACCCCCAGAGACCCTCAGGGACCCCCAGGGACCCCCTGAGACCCCCAGGGACCCCCAAAAGATCAGAGACCCCCAGGGACCCCAGAGACCCCCTGGGACCCCCAGAGACCCCCTGGGACACCTCGAGACCCTTCTGGGACCCCCCCGAGAGATCAAAGACCCCCCCCAAGGGACCCCCAGAGACCCCAGGACACCCCAAAATGTCCCATAGAGACCCCAGGACACCCCAGGACACCCCATAGAGACCCCATGGAGACCCCAGGACACCCCAGGACACCCCATAGAGACCCTATAGAGACCCCAGGGTGCCCCATAGAGACCCTATAGGGACCCCACAGACACCCCAGGACACCCCAGGGTGCCCCACAGAGACCCCAGGACACCCCAGGGTACCCCATAGAGACCCCAGAACACCCCAGGACACCCCAAGGTGCCCCACAGAGACCCCATAGAGACCCCAGGACACCCCAGGGTGCCCCATAGAGAACCCATAGAGACCCCAGGACACCCCAGGGTGCCCCACAGACACCCTATAGGGACCCCAAGAGACCCCAGGGTGCCCCATAGAGACCCCAAAGAGACCCCATAGAGACCCCAGGACACCCCAGGGTGCCCCATAAACACCCTATAGAGACCCCAGGACCCCCCAAGACGCCCCATAGACACCCTATAGAGACCCCAGGGTGCCACATAGAGACCCCAGGACACCCCATAAGCACCCCAGGACACCCCAGGGTGCCCCACAGACACCCTATAGGGACCCCAGGACACCCCAGGGTGCCCCACAGAGACCCCAGGACCCCCCAGGGTGCCCCATAGAGACCCCATAGAGACCCCAGGACACCCCAGGGTGCCCCATAGAGACCCCATAGAGACCCCAGGACACCCCAGGGTGCCCCACAGAGATTCCAGGACACCCCAAAATGTCCCATAGAGACCCCATAGAGACCCCAGAACACCCCAAGGTGCCCCACGGACACCCCAGGACACCCCATAGAGACCCCATGGAGACCCCAGGACACCCCAAGACACCCCATAGAGACCCCATAGAGACCCCACAGACACCCCAAGGTGCCCCACAGAGACCCCAGGACACCCCAGGGTGCCCCACAGACACCCCATAGAGACCCCATAGAGACCCCATAGGGACCCCAGGACACCCCAGGACACCCCAGGGTGCCCCAAGGTACCCCATAGAGACCCCAAGGACCCCATAGGACCCCCCAAGGTGCCCCATAGAGACCCCAGGACACCCCATAGAGACCCCAGGACACCCCAAGGAGCCCCACAGAGACCCCAAGGACCCCATAGGATCTCCCAAGGTGCCCCCACAGACACCCCATAGAGTCCCCATAGACACCCCATAAGCACCCCAGGACACCCTAGGACCCCCATCTCCCTCCCCATCTCCCATTTTCCCCCTTTCCCCTCCCCCAAAGGACTTTTTCCCCCTCCCTCCTCCCCCCCTTCCCCCCCTCAGGGCGGTTTCCCTCCCCCTGCCCTCGCCCCTCCCCCGGCCCCTCCCCGACCCCCGGGACCCCGGCAGGTCCTCCAGGCCCTCCTGCAGATGAGGCCGAACCAGTAGAGCTGTGGGGCCAGGAGGGCGGCGGCGGCCCCGTTGTAGAGGGGGGGCAGCGAGGCCGGGACCCCCCAGAGGGGCAGCCCCCGGTGGCGCCCGTAGGCCCAGTACAGGTAGGGGAAGAGCAGCACCCGGCACAGCAGGAAGGTCACCAGGAGGGCGGCCCCGTTCAGCTTGTGCAGGGCCGTGTGCTGCAGGCGCAGCTGAAAAAGGGGAAAAAAGGGAAAAAAAAGGGGGTTTGGAGGTGTTTTGGGGTCTCCTGGGGGTGGGGGAACGGGGAGACCCCAAATGTCCTCCCCAAATGATCAGGGGTGGAGGAACCCGTGGTGGCCACATCTAAGGAGGGTTTGGGGGGACAAGGTCACCAGGAGGGCGGCCCCGTTCAGCTTGTGCAGCGCCGTGTGCTGCAGGCGCAGCTTTTGGGGGAAAAAGGGGAAAAAAGGGAAAAAAAAGGGGGTTTAGAGGTGTTTTGGGGTCTCCTGGGGGTGGTGGAAAAGGGGAGACCCCAAAGGGACCTGTGGGGTGAACAGGGGGTGAGAAATGGTGGTGGGACCACATCTAAGGAGGGTTTGGGGGACCCTAAATTTGGGGATTCTGGGGGTGTTTTGGGGTCTCCTGGGGGTGGGAAACCCGGGGGGACCCCGAATGTCCCCATGGGGTGAGG